AAACGTGACGAGGGGAGATTATCAGCTGCGGTTCCAGGTCCCCGTATCGCTCAGATCTGTCTTTCGGTTTGCGTTTTGATGGAAGAGGTGTCCTCAGGCCTGCGCCAGCCTTTCAGATTCATTGTTGCTGATCTGAAAGTGCAGCTCAGCCGGACGGACAGATCTGAAGTGGCCCAGCATGTGGCTGGCCCCGCTTGTCTCCGTATTTAGATAACAGCACATTTTTCTTGTCGGGGGAGAAAAATTCCAGCTGCACATTCCCAAACTTCTCCTCATATTTCCAACAAATTCATCTGCTTGTGTTTGCCCCAGCAGCCCTCAGGAATGTACGCATCTCTCTTAATAAACAGAGCCCGGCTTTGAAGTTAATGCAAAGAAAATCTATTTTCACAAAATCTACCAAGTATTACATCAGATGAAGGCATATTGTTTTAATTAAGGAGCTTGACTATCAGTCTGAGGACCATCTTAATGCAGTTCATTAGGCAGAGGGCTGGAGCCGAGCTGATTAGCACCACGGCAAACAACCTTCCGAAAACCCAGACTCCAAACCAGATTGTTGCACGTTGAATCTGTCCTCAAACACAAATGCTATGGCAGTTTGTGCTTTGAGAGAGAGCTGAAGGTTGTTGAAGAAGGATTTCTACAGAGATGTTGTTCGGCAAACAGGAAAGATGTGGCACTAAAGGGTTGGCTCTTCTCAGTTTTTAATACATTTAAAGCTACCTAAAATTACACCCAGGTGTGCAGCATTATTACCTGTCTTCAATGACTTCTGATGTTTTATGCAACACAGCAGAGCTGCAGTTTATAATGGAACAAAATGCATATATTCACTAAACGAATGGGGAATTTCTTCTACGTTAAATAAAGAACTAAAACTGGGAAAATTGTAATAAGATTTCTGTGTTTTCTTTCTGCTCAGTCAAATGATCCAAAGCCTTTGAGCAACCTATTCCCCTCCTCGCCTGTGGGGGCGCTGCACCGAAGCCTGCATTCAGAGTTCAACAGAACCAGAACCGGTTTATAGGCGGATCAGAGTTTAACGTTCGTTAACTTCATCCTGACGCTGCAATGAGATCTAACAGGAAAAATACAACCTGCTGTTGACAAAACGTTCATAAATCCGAGTCTGTTTTTTTTAATTACTGGCCACATTGGAATATTTATCTGAAGTCAAATAAATATTCTGTTTCAAATAAATATTCTGTTTATAGATATTTATTGATGTTTAACTTGTTAGCTAAATATTTAGTTTGGATCCAAACTAAAGTTTAGTTTAGATCGATAAAGCAATATTTAATCCATTTGTTAGATCCATTAACTTCGTAGTTAAATATTTAGTTTGAAACTGTGACACTTATGAAATAAAGACTGTATAAATATGTGAAAATATGAAAACGAACCTTCTTATTTTTCTGGCAACAAGCTAAATTATAAAAAAACACTGACAGCTTTACAAACAGCTCCTGGTGTCACAGACTGATGATGTCTAATTTATAAACGCCTCCTTAAGCTGCAGCTGCTGTTGGTGAAATCCCCACTGGGGTTTTGTGTTCATAGATGTTGCTGTTGACTGTTTCAAGCTGCCTTTTTCAACCCAACTGGAGAAATTAAAAGAGCCAACAGAGAAAATGAACAAATCTTCACATTTATAAATCCAGAGTACAGCAGGGCTCTGTTCAGCTCTTCCTTTGTAATCCATGCTGAAGCTTTTACTGTTTTGTTTTGAAATAAAACACACAGTAAAAGTGACACAAACTCATAACTTTAAATCGTGGCACTCAGGACATTTTAATTGGTGTCTGTGAGCCAGCGAGTTTGTTCAGCTCCAAACCAGCTGCTGTGGCAGGAGAAACGGCGAAACTTTCACTGAACACAATCAAAACCAAGTCATTATTGTTTTTATAGAATATTGTTTTTTGTCAAAGTTTATGCCATTTTAATCCATCCAAAAAGTTTTGATTATGTGCAAAAATATCTAATAATGAGGTACAGAGGCGCGGGTGAAAGGATAAGCTTTAATAAAAAGCTGTTTCCCTGTTTTTTCTTTTTATTATAGTACATAAAGCCTTTCTAATAACCACCTTTATAAAGCATTAGAGAAAATCCATAAAACATCATGGCTCTGTTACTTTCATCAACATGTTAAGTGTTTGATTTCTTGGAATCTGACATGATGATGGATGAGCATTCAGCTTGAATTCAAGCTAATTTCTCTTTGGCTCTGTCAGCAACTCCATCTGTTTCCAAAGAGTCAGACTGGCAACCGTCCAGAAAGCTCCAATCATCTTAATTTTCCAAAGTTGAAACACAGAAGAAAGAAATTATAACATACTGGAATATTAATGCTGTTGATTTAAACATTTTTGTCTGACCTGATCCCCGTTGTTTAGTTTTTTCCCTGTCTTTTGTTTGGCCGACCACCCATCCTTACGGACGCTCACACACTGAACCCAGGTTGTTTTTTTCTAAGAGTGTGGATGTAATTATTTCACCCAGACTCAGTTGGGACATGTCATGCTCTGTACCGTGTTGAATAGCTGATGTTTGTCAGTGGTGAGCCGCAGTAAATCAGGTCTGTCAGCGCAGTGCCAGCTGCATGTGGATGCGGTGCTGCAGCCCAACGCGCTCGTCTGAAACTCAACGCCGTTCATGGCGGTTCCTCCCCCAACCCACTTAGAAATGTTATTGGTGTTAATCTGGTGGGAAAACTTTACACCTTTGATCATCTCAAACTTTGAAAGGTAAACATGTGAATAATAATAATAATAAGAGGCTGTGGTTCTTTATTTCTCTTTTCTCTAAATTTCATCACTTTATTTCATACATCTACAAAGTTTATTTGATTCGTGGTGAATTTTACGCAGGATTAGGCAATGTGCTCCGGCTCCAAGCCCAGAACAAAAGGACTTGCATGTGAAAGGAATGTTATAAAGATACTGGTTCCAGTAAAACTTTTTTCTGTATGTGGAAAATGTGGATGCTGCATCAGCTAAGGTGTGTCTTTTTGTTTTTCTAGCGATTTCAGCTCCTTATATCCGCTGCTGCACTTTGTCGTCTATTTCCTCTTTCTGAAAAAACCAAAGTCGAATTTCAGCTAAATGAACTATGAAGGAGTATGATTGCCTGCTAAAATTCACTTCAGTTCCAGCTCATTAAAACTCTGAACACTTTGTGAGGCCTGAGTGAAAGGGAAGCATTCCTAATCACATATATGTTCAGTTGCAGGCAACAGTTTAGGGAAAGAACAATTCCAATAAAGATTATTTTGATGTCGAAAAGAGGGACTAAAAGCTAGTATAAAAATACTCAAAAACAGTGAGAGTCTGGTGCAGTTATCTCTAATAAATCATGCAGAAACACAGATGGTTGTGTTTGGCCAGAGGTCTTGTTGTTGTCCAGTTTAACCAGTTATTTGAGGTTCAGTTTAATGGTTGCTTTATATTGAAGCCATCAGAGCAACTTTTCATTTTGTAAAGTCAAAGCAGCGAGGCCACAGTATTTATTTTATTCTTTGTGTTTCTACTGAACAGTAGAAATACACGCTTCATATTTTCTTTTTTCTTTTAATCAAACAGCTTCCACCTTTAAACTGATTCAGGATTAGGCAATGCGGAATCGGCAGCACTGTTTTCATTCTGCCATATCGAAGAGTTTCCAGCCATGAATAATTTGTTTAAGGTCATTTTACAGCAGTAGAAATAAGTCAAGACTTTAACTAGACCACTACAAAATCTCCATTTGGTTTTATTTTTGAGCCATTAGTTGATCTTATCAGTCCTCAGAATATCTTACCAAATGTTTTGGGGTCATTCATTTGTTTTCTGGAAATGTCTGGAAATGATTCTGATTTTTGACGATATTTTCCTACATCTTGACGATGCTGCAATTATTAATTTCCATTTTGACAACTGAATGTTTGTGAGTGAAATCAGTTCCTTTTTAATCTAACTGTGTGAATCAGACTCACCTTTGTGTTCTTCTGGGTTGAATCGTGACCTCTGACCCTGCAACAATAACTGGGATCTGCAGAGATTTAAATTTCCATGTTTTCACCAGTTTAGATCATGTTTCACCAGTTTAGATCATGTTTCACCAGTTTAGATCATGTTTCACCAGTTTAGATCATTTTTCTCTCTGCGGATCCCTGGAATCCCAAAGTTTTAGAAATCACCATCCCCTTTTCTTCATTTCGGTTGTGATTTTGTTTCTCATCTGTTGTTAAATTTGTTCAGCTCATGTCATCACGTTTTGCTCTCTGAGATCTTTGATCCTACTTCATGTTGCCAGATGGGTTCTGTTTATGATGATTTATTGATTCTGAACCCAAAGAAATCAGTTTTTCATTTCGGCTTTACTGGATAAAATAGAGACATACTGTTCAGTTCTGATTTATTGTTCAATACAGAAACAGTTTGATGACTTAAACTTGCCTTTCAGTGGATTTATTTATTTATTTATGTTTAAACTGAATCATTGCATTTTTCTTTTACATCATAGTTTCCTGTCACCTATATCCTGAAGATATTCTCTTCTTTAAATTTTAGCTCATTATTTGAATTTAATGATCATCAAATTTTTTAAAAATAAATTAAGAAAATTATTTTAATAATAAAAATGTCAAATGTTCATTTCTTGGGGAGTATTTCACATGAACATTTCTAATATTGAAGTTTAATGTTAAAATGTTTATACTTAATTATACTTTGTAATTTGAAACTACAGATTTTTTTAAAAAGTAAAAAATCTTGTGCATAAAAGTAAAATTATGCACAAGTTCAAAACTTTTCTTTGGTTTTAATGAGAAACCCAAAGGTTTGTTAATGTTCTAATCAAAGTAGCTGAAGTTTTCTCATGTTTTGCTTGTCATGTTTCACTAAAATAAAATTATTTTTTAAAGAAAGAATTGAAGATTTCATAAACAAAATGTAAATATTTGACATTTTGTGTTTTTGCACCATGTAAAGTTGAATAATTGGACAACGTTTTGTCTGCAGCAGGTGTATCCGTGCAGCAATGACAAGGAGTGCAGCGTTGGCAGCTACTGCCACAGCCCGCAGCAGGCCTCGTCGCGCTGCCTGTCCTGCCGCCGCAGGAAGAAGCGCTGCCACCGGGACGCCATGTGCTGCCCTGGGAACCGCTGCAGTAACTGTGAGCACCTCACTTCCATCTGATTCCACTTTAAATTATGCACAAGTTCAAAACTAAATTCAAGAACTGGATTTTTTTTCTTTGAGGTGTTTTGCAACCAAACTTATTTAGACTGAAAATTATGTTTGTGTTGGATGAAATATAAGTCCAGTTTATTTAATAAGCACGTTCAAAAAACAAGTTTACAAAAATAAGATCGATAAAAGACATAAAACAAGTATTAAAACTCGGGCCAGAGACTTAAAACGCTAATTTTGATCAATTTATTACAGATTTAGAGTCAATCACTTTTTTTACATGCAAGTTTTGAGCTGGAACTTTTGTATTCAGTTGTTTCTGGTACTCCTGTAAATATGATGCACAATAGACAGCAATAAACAGCAAAGCTAAAGCTGCTTCTGTCTTAGCTCTGGGGTTCATTTCTGCTTTAAAAACAATCTGATTGGATGTTGAAAATGACCAGTGTTGTGTTCAAATTGTGCTAAAATGAGTTAACCTATTAGCTAAGCCTTTGAGTTGCTAAAACAATCCTTAGCAACCTGCACTAGCTAGAAATACTATTATGATTGCTACAGATTCAGCCGTGTAGAATGACAATAATGAAACATCATTTACTTAAAGCTGCACATTTTCATGCACCAAAGATGACGCTGCCAAGATGAAACAGTGTGGCGTCGTCGCTTCACTTTCAGTCTGACAAACATATCAACAATTTCTGTATTCCTAAATACTGGAATAGCTGTAGAATAACAAAATATTTCTGATCTTGCTGCTGTTTCTTTTGATATCACTCAACAGTTATGAGTGAAGGAAGTGCATAGAGTTGCATTCAAAGCCTCTATTTACAGCTGAATTTATAAACACTGTTAGATCTTTACATATCACCAGCTGGTGTTTAGAAACCCTGATTTAAACTTTGTGTATAACTCCTGTTTTCATTACTAATAATAAATAACGTTCGTATACAATGACTGTTTAAAATATTGTAAAGGATTTATGTGTTCCCTGCAGACACTAAGAGGACAGGAAATTGAGATGTTTGATATTTAAAACCTCACACAGTGAGCGAGTATTGTCCTGATTTAAACACTGCTGCAGTAAGTTCGTTAAAATCTGTAAAGCAGTGTTCTTACAGAAACCATCCTGTAGCTCATGCACTCAAAAAGATTTATTATTGTGAGCGAAAAGATTTTTTCTCCTATCAGTGAAAACGTCTCTGTGGGTCCAGAGAAGATGGAGCGCTGTTTCTGAGAGCCATCTAAACAAATCAGCGAATGAGCAAACAGAAATAAACTAGACACTCCAAGGCTGCACAAGATTGAGTTACAGAAAGAAAGTATTAACATGCATGCGCATTAGAAAATAAACACCAATCTATAATGAGGTTTAGGCTCAACCAAATGAGAAAAAGCACAAAACTAATCAAATGCACATTTGCTGTGTGTCACTGAACAGACTGATCCGTTTCATCAGATAAGATCTAATAAAACCAAAACTCCAGGTTAGAAATCTGCAGTGAGCTCCAGTGGCTCTCATGCTGTATTTCCATTAAATATACATAAAATACATTTGAAAGTGGCTCAACTTGAACATGACAGTTAATGTGCTGCTGTGAAAATTAAAATCAAGAAACAAGCCGTCTTTGCATTGTTTCTAAGTTCTGATAGATCATTGTGAGTTTTTTCTGTCTTATAAATCTTGCATATGTACTTTTTGTTCCAGTTTCATAAAGAAGCAGGAAAATAAATCACATCAGCAGCTCAGTCACACATACACAGATGCAGAGCTGCTCCAGAATCTGTGCAACATAGCAAGATAGCAAGATAGCCTAGTTTTATCCACATACTTCACTCACTTCTGCATGCTGGATGCTTGATACTAAAATTAAGTTTTATGACTCAGAAAATGACCACTTGGGGCCCTCATATAATCAATTGATCAATAAATATCAAAATGAATAAAATAAAAATATATGTCCTGATGCAGCTGTGATTTCCACATGTTTCATCCTGATACAGATGCACTATTCAGATGTGACATCTGACACGTGTCCTGAAACTCTTCTTAAGTTCAGAGTCTTTACCCCCACATCATGGATGTTTGTAATAAAGCAGCAGGCCTGCAGAGAGAGGAAAAAGGCCCAGGAGTTCATCTCTGATATTCTTTTGAAAGTTTTCTGTTGAGTTACCAAAGCATTCCGGAAAGTCGTGTGTCACAGGCCTGCAGTACATTCTGGTCTTTTGAAGAGTCTTTCTAAGAATCTCTATTGTTTCCATGGAAAACTCCTGCAAAACAAAAATCATGTGACCTAAATACGCTGCGATTTGTTAAACAGCCAAAGATAGCAGACAGATTAAAAACTCTTCTGTTTTTAATGACCTTGATGTCTATTTTTTTCTTTCTCGCTGCAGATATTTGCGTGTCCATCTCTGAGAGCGTGCTGTCGCCTCACATCTCTGCAATAGATAACCCCAACGTGTTGTCCACCAAAGACCACAGCTGGAGGAAGAAAGGGAGGGGCCCGCCTAAGCATGTGCTAAAGGGTAAGATTTCAGCCTGAAGGGTCTAAATCTGTCTGTTGTTCCCCTTCTGGAGGTCTGTAAGTATTCATGGACTCTGCCAGTCCACAAACTATGTTGATAATTGGCTTTCTGCTCGTGTGTCAGCAATGGTGTACCCAAAGCATAACATTACGAAACTACAAAGCTTTAGCTGTTTCTGCACCGAGTTGGAGCCGTGACGGCAGTTTCACAGGGAGCAGCACACTTTATGTGAAACACAAGAACAACCACAGAATGGAGGTTAGCTTCTTTATTGCTAATAAGTCCTTGAGACTCCAGCTTAGCACTCATGTCACCTGATTTATGTTAATGTGAGACTCTGGAACAAAACGTCTGAGCACACAAAGCACCAAGCTGAATGCAAAAGTTTGAAACCAACTTTTATATTTGTGATACTGACTTACAAGCGGAAACATGTGAAAGTTGAAGGTTCACCTGCTGCTTTCAATATGTCAGAAAAGTACAATAAGGAAGCATTTATTATCAAATTGTTATAACTACATTGAGAATTAAAATTTATGTCTCAACTTGCATAAATAAAATATCTGATACTTTTTATGAAACATCACACTGAATTGTCAGAAACATTCATTGTGAACAGAATTTACTCCATGCGAGAAATCCTTGTACTCAACCAGAGCAAACTGACATTTATATGAAAATGAACATTTGCCTTAACACACATGCGGCAGGTCACAATTTACACAAACCTGCTGTTAAGCAACCTGGGATATCGTTCCCTCTACTGCCTTTTTCTTTTTTGTTTTTTTAAGTGCTAACTTAAAGACCCTTGTTTTCTCAACCCTGAGACAAAATTAATGAAAAGTTAGCAACACAATTTACTGCTCTGTTTCTGTTTCTGTTTCACAAACTCAAACATGTAAGTTAAAAATCTATAACTTGCAAGATTTGATGGACTTAACTCTCCTGCTCTGGAGTGTGTGTGCAAACCCAAGACCTGAGAGGTTAAAGAGTAGAAATTAGTTGATACAACAAAATGCAACTCTAATGTTTTACAGTGTTGAATTCTTCAACAGACTTTTTGAGATTTTGTCTTATGATAATAAACCCCAAACACCTACAGCTATGAACGAAAAATTACTCTCTAAAGTACAAATGCACTCCACACTTTTCAGTTCATAAAATCCAAACGGTTTAAGGCCAGTGAGTTCTTTCTGTTGTTTTGCTGTTGGTTGCTTTTTGACTCATCACCGTGTTTCTTGCTCTCCTCTCTAAGGTCACGAGGGCGACCCCTGCCTGCGCTCGTCCGACTGCTCGGACGGCTACTGCTGCGCCCGCCACTTCTGGACCAAAATCTGCAAGCCGGTGCTGCGGCAGGGAGAGGTGTGCACCAAGCAGAGGAAGAAAGGCTCCCACGGCCTGGAGATCTTCCAGCGCTGCGACTGCGCCAAGGGGCTCTCCTGCAAGGTGTGGAAAGATGCCACCTCCTCATCCAAGTCCAGGCTGCACATGTGCCAGAAGATCTGAAGCGGAGGCAGTTGCCGTGGGCGCGGAGGCCTCTGTCTCCATCTGCCACGGAAAGTTTTAAGGGAGAGAATGGCTTGTGGCTGCACTGAGAGGGAGCAAAAGACAGAGACTAACAGGAGACAGAACGAACTGCTGCTGCGTGGGTTTCAAACCCTGCAAGCGGACAGCGAATGGAAACGCTCTGATGTGTTCGCCGTGAGCCGCCGCCACCGCTCTCACGCTCAGGCACGCATCTTCCAGACACACAGGGATGGAAGAGCTTTTCACCCTGCTTCAAAATAAAACACAACATGTTCAGCGAGCCACAGAGAGAGCCGACGGATGCTGTGATAGATGTGGACTTTGTCAAGGTGGAGACAACTGATGTAGCAAACTTCTTTTTTTAAGCTAAAATACATTAAAACAAATATTCATTACAAGGCTTTCAAATCAATATTTTAAAGTCATTATTCCAATATTTCTTAAAGGGGCAGTGTTATGTAAAATTTACTTTTTATAATGTTATTCCCTCATCAAACACCAACCTGGAGTTTTATTCATTTACATTTACATCTTTGAGAAATCCTTTAATCTCCACAGTGACCGTTCAGTTGAGTAAAACACCTGGGTGGACCGAGCGACACCTTCGCAGCTCCGCCCCCACGCAGCTCCGCCCCCACGCAGCCCCCCACGCAGCTCCGGCCCCACGCAGCTCCGCCCCCACGCAGCTCCGGCCCCACGCAGCTCCGCCCCCATGCAGCTCCGCCCCCACGCAGCTCCGCCCCCATGCAGCTACGCCCCCACGCAGCTCCGCCCCCACGCAGCTCCTTCAGACTAGCCAGCAGGAATTAGCAATCATCTGACGAAACGGCTGACTTAATGTTGTTAAAGGGTTAACAGAGGAGCCATGTTGGGATGACTTCCTGAGGGCGGAGTCTCAGAAAGAGCAGCAGTTCTTAAAGAGGCAGAGCCCCAATTTCACTGCGCTAAATTGTGAAACATTTTTTTTTAAAAAACATATTTGATACATACAACATTTGTATAACAACTGAACATATTTAGTGAATTGTGCTATAAAATGACACTGTGTGCCTGAAAACACATAATCCTGCCCCTTTTAGGTTTATCTTTGGAAACTATTGTTTGTATCCTTCGAACGGCTTTAGCTGCTTTCATCCAACGCCACATTCGCCTAAACCAAAGAATACAGAACATTCCCAGTGCAGTTAACGAGTTTCATCTGCTGCACGAGAGATAAAGCGTGATTGTGTTGGCTTTGGAAGCCCTCATTGATCTGTCGGATCCAGCTGCGATCCGCTGGGATGACAGTCGTGTGTGAGGTGGAGCTCCGCTGCAGACTCAGCGGTACCGGTACCAGACGGAAAGCCGCTCTGCTTTCCCAATCACATTAACGAGACTCGAGGATATGAGGAACTTAGGGTTCTTTTCCATTTGCAAAGCCCGTAGGAATGGTGACGTGGGGAGATTGATTACATAAAGCTGATGTGTTCAAAGGGAATCTGCCGTTTGATTTCTTTGTTTTGTGGCTCACAGCCTGGTTTGTTGTTCAGCCTCTTAAATATGACTGCATACTTTCTTCTCATGACATATTGTGGAACTTTAATTTTGTTCTGGATGTTTTTTTAAACAGCTCTAACCCTAAAACTCATAGTATCACTTTAAAACATACATCTTGTAATCATTCAATAAGCTCTTTTATGTAAATAGACTGGAAGCAATGTATTTAAGAATGGATGTATATCGTGTACATATTAATCCTGAACGCTATAGCCGACACGGTGGAGTAGAGAAAGAGGAGGGCAGAGAGGAAAAGGCTTGAATGATTTTACAGACTGGCTGAAGCTTGTTACAGGTAGAACAATAATTTCCAAATTATTTTGTGTAAATGGTGTGTAAATGGTGTGAAGATGTATATCCCACTAAAATGATTTGTGTGAATATTGAACGTTGATTTGTTTTTTTGTGTTTATAAAATGATAATGGAAGAATAAAAGGAATGTATTTTGTATCAGTGATGAAGCAGGATACTTTTTTTTACATTTAATTAAAAATCTCAGTTTAAATGAGTTGATTTTTAATGATCAGCAAAAACATTTTAGGTTCCGATAAAAATACTGTGAACTGCCACAAAACGATGCCATGAATGAGACCCAGCAGATTAAAGAAATTAAATATGCAACGCAGTTCAGAACAATATAATACTACATATATTATGATTTTATATAAAATGGTCAAATAGATGCAGCAGAAAATGATACACAGCAAAACAAGAGGTGAAAAAAAATGATAAAATACAATAATTTGATACGATACATTATGATATGATATGATATGATATGATATGATATGATATGATATGATATGATATGACATGATACAATGCAATACACATTATGAAATAATACAATACAATGCATTCTGATACTGGATGTTGCAATTTAACAAGCTATGCTACAATATAATTAAATATAATAATATGTAATACAATTAAGTGTTATTTACCTATAACACAATTCAATATGAAGGGGAACATGGTGATTCAATGTTACTGGTGGAATACAAAAGGTTTATCTGATAGTACTATAACATGCGGTACAATAATATACAGCATAAGAATTTACTCTATGAGTGTCGTTAATGGAAAATAAGAATCTGTTCTTTATAACTGGCTTGGTCAAATAAATAAATGAATAAAAATATGATCTCCTAGGGGAAATAACTTGTTGACTTTTTGTATCGCTGAGGCCATAAAAATGCATTTATTGCTGCTAGAAAGTTTTAGCAAGAGTTTCAGACACCCTATTAACACACTACTTACTAGTTGAAAGTCTTTATCTGTTTTTGAAATCATTGCTACCACTCACTACACTGTAAAATCCTTAGTAAAGGCAGGACTCTAAAATTTAAAACGATCCTTGTGTTTTATATCTTTCTTCACAGCAGCCAAATTTCATCTGAAGTCATTTTGGTCAACAGCTTTCTGGCATTTCTGAGAGTCTTTTCATTTTAGTTGTTTGAACTTTGGTTGATTTCTGACTCATTTTCAGAACAATGTGCTCCTTTCCCATCGTCTTGTCTGCTTCTCTGATTTTTCTAAGCACATATTTCACAAATTAAGTGTGAAAACAACAACAACAACAAAATCAAAAGACAAACTGGGAGATTTTCCATGAAATCCTTGAGAACTGTTGATCAAAACCACCCCAGAAGATCACAAGAAAGTCCTTTTGCATGGAAGGAAATATTCAGCAAGTATGCAGCCCTACTAGTTATTCCTTAATTTTTAATAAACATGCAAGAATCAAAAGTAAATGACATTAGGGATTAAAATGATGGGATGTTTTGGTGTAGACTATGACAAGCAGATCTGGTCTCATGTCAGAATTAAACCTAATCTGTTTGTCTTTCTAATTAAACATGAACAAAAGAGGAGTGAAAAGGCTTGCTGGATAATCGTACCATGTCACTAGAGGTTTTTGTCCTTATAAAGGCAACGTTCATCAAACCCCAAGTGACACAGTCAGCAGCTGAGATGTTTTCATGAGTACAAACAAAACCTCATGAAAGCCAAAATGAGCTGATGCTTTGCAGATGTCATCCAGTCACTGAATTCCTTCAACATCCCACGAACAATGTGCAGGGCACTTTGTGGTTCTGTACAAATCTGTATATTACATGTTGTCAGTCTAACAACACATGACGGAAATTAAAGACATTTTATTGACTGAATTGTGTGGTTGTCTTTGAATACCCAGCGGTACCAACATCAGTCCAACTGATTCTGCCTGTCAGGCGCTCTGGGCGCCGCCTGATGAGACTCCAGCTGACGGTTTCACCTGGGCTGGTTCTGGATGTGTCTGATCACACTGATTACAGCCTCACCTCTGGTTTCTGAAATGGAAACCTTTGTCTTGGTGTTGAACAGTTTTAAATAGAAAAACTTTTCATCGCAGCGTTCCAGGGCTCTTTGACAGTCTCCGCTTCCTGTCTGATTAATGTGAGTAAAGGCCACAAGTGACTCAAAAATCACAACAATATTTAAAGATTTCAATCAAGCTGAGGTTCAGACTTCAACATTTGCAAGACCATAATGTTCCTGCTGTGTTTGGGATTACTGTCCGGTCCATGACCCAGTTTGGATCAACTTTCCTGTACAGCTGGAGAATTTTCTGTTGCACAGAGCGTCTGCAAGGTGCTGCAAAACAAGCCCAAATCACAGGAATTCAGTAACCGCGCTTCACAGTGAGCAGTGTTTGTACTTACATGCTGTGTGGATCATTAATGTATAACTTTGTCAACCTGTCATCCTGAATGTTCTGCTAGACACAGAAGACTTCCCCTTTCAGTCCTTCAAAAACCTGTTAGTTATTTTTCTAATTCAAACATCCATCAACTTTAAACATGCTGAGTCTGAGAGTCAGAACGACAGGCGACACACGGGCGCTGCGCGAGCCGGGCGCCAAAACAATGCTGGGAGAATTATTTCTATTTAATAGATGCATGTGAATGTGCAAATTATATGATTATGAGCAAAAGATGAAAGTACATAGCTGCTCCCTGAGTCTGTAAGACAGACCAGATGAGGAACCGTTACCAGAGTAATGGGCAACAATAGTTGCTTCTCTCAGGTCTTTGCTGGTTGATCTGATTTTTCCTAACAGCACTTTGCTCTCAGACTGCAGGGTTATTGCTGGTTACTAAAATAAAATGGGAGGCATTATTTCACAGGCAGACACCGTGTCTGATTGTTAAACTGGTTTATGTTATCCTGAGCTATTTCTGTATTTTTGCTGTTATAGTCTTTGGCAACTGGAGGACAAGATGACCAATTTTCCTCAATTTCTTCTTCTACTTCTCGCAGTTTGCGTTATTTCTATGGCTAACTTTATATCTTTTCTTCACTGAAGCGCCATCTGGTCTGGTGTTGTTTTGGAGGAGGGCATCAGTTGAAATCATGCTGCCAACAACTAATCGTTCTCACTCTCCTGCCGCTAACGTTTTACTTTTCACTTACACAGAAACTGCTCCTGGATCAGCTCATCTGTTGCTTTCTGTCTGTGCTCTGTCTTCTCAAACCTCCAGCCACTCATGGCAGATGACCCAGGTTCTGGTTCTGCTGGAGATTTCTTTTTCTTAAAAGGACATTTTTTCCTCTCCACTGTCGCTACATGCTTGCTCGGTATGAGGGATTGCTGTGAATCCGACACAATGCAAGCTGCGGGTCGGTGACTTCCTGCGACGCGGACGGGTTCCTTAGACGGAAGAAAACGTTTTAAACTAATTTGATGTATTTAATGCACTGATTGATAAATATAATCGGTTGTAATGTATGTGTATTATCCGTCAGACCTGAACATTTTTACAGAGGTTGCTGCTTTTATGATAATCAATCAATCAAATGCACCTGGCTCTTACTTTCCTTATTAAATCCTATAAAAGCAGAAAGGCGTGTGCTTTTCCCCATGACTGCATTTTCTCTCATTCTTTGACCGAACTGGTGGCACACTTTGTGAGGTTGTGCAATCCAAAGCATTCTTTCCTCAGATGTTCTTTTGATTAAAAGTAATAACTTCACCAAACCTTCAGCTTGGATTTGGTTCACATTTGGTAAAGCGTTGGATGCTTTCATGTAATCTCCACAGATACTAGAAACATTGCATTGAGAATGACTAGAGTCCAGGTCTCCATGGAAAGAAGAGACTGAAACAGAAAGAAAGCACTTTTCTCCTCTTGTCTCGTTCCAGGCCACCCACAGCTTCTCAGCCTCCATCAAAAAGCTGCTAATGAGCGAACGACTGTCGCCGTGTCTGCCCTTTCCAGCATGTGTCAGCAGAAAAAACAAATGAATACGAATGAGGGGGTTCAGGCATGCAGCTCTGACTGCCCATGAAGCTGCCAGCTACATAAATATGCTAAATGATTCAGTGGAGGCTTTGATTTCGTGCCCGCGTTGGCGTTATGTAAATCATAAATGTAATTTGGTTCTGTATGGCTCATATCATTTACTGTGGCAGAGAGGGAAAGTCCTGTCATGATTTTATCCCGTTTTCTCATGCGGCGCGGACGCCGGCTCGGACTCAAGCTTCTGCGAGTCGACGAAAATGAAGATGTCATCAGTTTTCCCGGGAGACTTTTATTTGTCTAAGGCTTTTTTCCAGCGTTCATGTCTGTTCTGGCCACAAAAACAAATAATTCTGAGCAATGCCAGGCCCAAGAGAAATTTCAATCACAGCCACAACAAACGTGGGCCGATGTTTTTGCTCCCTGAATAGTTTTAACACAGAATCAAGAGGCAAAAAATTCAAACAAAATGAAACTTTGATATTTTTGCAAAACATAATTCACAGCAACTGTTGGATCAGATGTTGGTTAGAGTGTCCCTGTTGTCCCACCGGGGCAGATCAAGAAAAGTCACTGATAAACCTCAGGACAAATACTGAAAGACACTTTTAATACTCAGCTGCTCTGCAGAATCGACCATCTGTCAGTGATATATTCCATCCAAATCACATCACCCTTTTTTATTGCCGCTGCATCAAAGTGTGAAACATTTACTGTTGTTAGTGGAGCAAATGAAATTACCTCATATAAAACTGTTGCCTGATATTGAACAGAACATAAACAACTAGAAACATGTGAGAAAGTTGAAGGAGTCCGAGAAACCCAACAATGCAGGGAGGGAGAGCAGCAGAGCTAACCTGCTGCACGGCCGACATGTGAGGCGGCGTTAGGCGGCGTAATACTGTCCGCCCTGAGGAGCAATAAATCTCCTGAGCTTCACGTTACTTCAGCTCTGCTCACAGCCGTGCCAGCTCCTCTCTCCTGCCAGGTTTAGGCAGTTCTGGATTTTCCTCTACAGAACTGCTGAAGGAGGAAAGCTCAATTAAAATGTGCTCATTTGCCACATTCACCTCTGAAACACAGAAAAGAGAGAAGTTTACCTCCCTTTCGATTAACTGTGGAACTTATGTAAACTGAAATGACCAAAATAAATTTGCTCAAAAACTT